ATTTTTAGTCCAATAAAACTGGTTCATAGATTATGAAATACTGATGTCTTCATTTAAGGAAACGTAAAGCGTTTGATTCTGTTGATTCAATAAATTATGTTTGGATCAGAAGATTATCAATTACGAAATAGCTGGCAGCAAACGAGATGCGTGCATAGAAATGCGGCATACTACAAATAATTTTGCTTGCACAGAAACTCATCTGGTTTACACAGGACAGATCGGCCGCGAATAATATTTAATATCATATTATTTTATTATATTAGAATAATTTATGCAATACTAGAGGGTATACTATATTATGTAATATTATATTACTGGAAGTAATAATGGGATTGCAAGTAAGCTAGTGCCGCTCAATAAGTGTCTTAAACATAGTCCATTCGATTCCAAATAGCCCCAGCACAGCTATAGTTTAGCTGTTACAATGACTCCGTCCCCAAACTATTTCCATGTTGCGATGTACGAAGTATGATTAAAGCCATTCCATTTGTTTTTCATGGAGTCGAAAAATTAGTTTGTTTATAAGTGAATACAAAACAATACTGTCATGCACAACACAAAAATCTGTTTCATGGAGGAGGTCGAAGGCGTCGTCTTGGAGACCGGCCGCTGCAGGTGCCGCATGAGCAGGCGTCACAATTGAGACTTGGCACGTGTGGAAAATTGGATCACTTGTGAATATTGAACTCGCTGTCACCATCCTTACTCTCACAACACTATCACTGCCATCACTAACCTCATCATAGCTACCCTCACAATCACTACCATCACTACCCTCACCATCACTACCCTCACCATCACTCCCCTCACCATCACTACCCTCACTCCCACTACCCTCACTCCCACTACCCTCACTCCCACTACCCTCAACTCAACGATCGTCAGCAATTTTCGCTCCTGTTTGACCCGGAACTGTTCAATATCTTGGCACATCGTAGCTGATCTTCAAATTTGTTCATTTTGAAAGACTTGTAAAGAAATTGTGTGTGATTTACAATACCAGCAGGAAGAGCCAGAATTGAATCATGAATACATAAATCAGGTAGTAATAAAACATATCATATACACTTGGCGTTATATTTCATATTATTTTAATTCACGCCTAACTTATTAGTGCATGAAAATTTTCAGTTGCGACTCAATTTCATTTTTAGATGGAAATCGGATAAGAAAAATTCCAAATGATTGGTTAACTTAATTTCATAACATCATCAATCATTGTCTGCGAAAATATTCATAGAAATTTAGAACTTAAACTTTTACTGTCCTAGTTCACTGGATGAAGCCAGGTGAATTGACTACCTCATATATTTGTGCGTTCATCTCATTGAACGATGCATCTATAGCACCTGCAGTATAGTAAAGAAAAAACATTCCTGAAAAGGCTTAGTGTCTCTTCGAATTTAACGCAGAGAAATACAATATATATAACACTTCGGATATTGCGTGGAAAAGTACGGCTAAATGTTTTAGCTAAAGTGCAGTTACACACACAAGAGTTATCACAACTTTTCTCTTTTAAGAATGGGATGCCCCGTCAAACTGTAAAAAAACTAGAAGCATTTTTCTTTCAAACACAAACATGACAATATAAAAGCGAGGCGATTATTATAACGCCCGAAGTTCGTTCTCAATTTTATTATCGTTCATTAATATCTCCAGTTATTCGTCTAAGCAAAAAAAGGTTTGCTTTGCTCTATAATTCCGAATGTTGACAATACAACTTTGAGATTAATAATATTTGTACATAACTTCAAAGACACAGAGAGGTTATAGCTGGATCTATTACGTTATTTCGTAGTATACTTAGAGAGTCATTATAGTTTTAACTATATTTCTTCATTTAGTGTTAGTTGTTATTACTGTCATCCAATATGACGCCATTAGCGTCTAATATCCTCATTAGAATTAAATCAAGGGAGCGAGAGACCGGACTGCGGAGGTAAGAAAGATAAGTCAAATAACTCTGACAATAAAGTGATTGATTGGATGTCATGCTTCCTAAATCCCAATAGAGATCAATAATGAACCACGAATTCTCTATGTTGCATTTTCTAGCCAATGAGTGACCATTGTTCATTTATCCCTTAAGCCTACAACTGTGAAGATTGAAAATTTAAACTTATAGAATTACTTAAAGGTTATATATGTTATACCACATATAAGTAAAATTTTAATTGATATCAAAATCAAAGAGTGTCATAAATACGATTATACTGGCTATAGATATCAATCGCTTATAATAATATAAATATGAAATATATGAGCAATCCACGTAATATGAGCAATCCACGGACGTAAATTCGAGCTAAAAATCTATATAAATTTTTAGTGACTAAATCAACTGAAATCAATCTAATGTCAACTGAACTGTGGAGACATTTGTAGGGATTAACTAGAAGATGGTTGGATTGCAACTCATCGTAGGCCAATGCGTGCGTCTTAATTAATTATTATTAATAAGTAAACGAAATTTAGCAGCTTGAGTCTCGCACTCAAGCCGCCAATGCATCACCTAGTAAATAATTAAAGTCACGCCCCACATTCTGTGGTGATGCGGAGTAATTAATGGGATCAGGGAAATGTCGCCTTGACCGGAAATTCAGGTTAAGAAACGATGATTGTGAATGCGTGTCAGGAATTCCGATTCCATTGCAACGATTATTTACTATAAATAATGCCTTTTTATTCACTGATGTAGGAAAAGCAGCGATCAGCCTTCTGCAAGCGTTACACATAAATTCATTCCATTTTTAATGCTAGAGGTCCGGGTCTCGTATAAGCGGTCTAATTTTTGTTCCTTACTCTTTGCTAAGAATAGCAGGTATGCAAGCAACGCGGATAATTTAAAAAATTTGCGCCAGAATAACAAAGTTATTGATTAACTGAAGGTGAAAGAGGCGCATTTATGTCATTTCAAGCCATTGAATTCAAATCTGCTTACACAGAAACTTGTAGGTTGCGGCACAAGGTGCATCGGCCAGATGAAACAAGTAATTCAGTCCAGGCTCAAGATACATTCCCCCACAGTTGACCACTGTAGCTAATCCATTTAGTTGGGAGTCGAAGGGACAGGACGCGGCGGCGGCGGTGAAGTTCAGTGCGACGGTGGAGACGTAAATGCAGCCCACGTTGTCCACGAGCGTGAAATTGTCCCGGCAGCCCTGGCCTGTAAACAATGTTTCTAAATATATTTGTGTCCGGTTTGAGTCAATCTGATGAAAAACGTAGGGAAACCATACCGAGTTAGCTTGCATACCATACACCGACAGAAAAACTTGTTTTTTGAACTTGAAGGCGTATTTTTTTTCAGTTGAAGCCTCTATCAATCAAATTGACAGGAACATATAGGGAATTCATTAATAAATCTCAATTTTTAAGATGATTTGAATCTTGAATTGAATTGAAGGTAACTGATCATGCAAAAAACAATGAATCTGAATAAATAAATTGAAATTTTTAACCCTACGGAAACTGATAATTGTTACTCCTATTGAGCTCGAGCTACATTTAAGTCATTGCATATGTTCCATGGAACGTGATTTACGTTTGTAGAAAACCCGTGAGTCAGTAGCAGGGATCATGAAGCCGGTAGTGTTTTCAGAGACATTTTTGTCGGTGAAGGAGCAGTGGAAGGAACTTGGTGGCTTGCGCCTGATGGCTACCGCGACGCATGCGTCACGGCACAGCGCTCGACACTTGCCTGAAAGTGATTACATCTTCGCCAAAATTGTCATTGTGACTGCTTTTCTTTTATCCGATACAAAAATATGAGCCCACTAGATTCCTACAGAAATCATACTATAATACAATATTTGTGTCATTTAATTAGGCTCACAAGGACGCTGCACGACCGCGCTGCTTGAGATCGCACTTGTGGCAATTTCCGCGCCCATGAAAGTCCTGAACGTATAAGCTGAGCCCTCCTCGATGCTGCAGCAGACGCACAGCAGCGCCTCGAGCGCCGCTAGCAGCGCCAGGTTCATCTTGCTGAGCTTGATCAACTTAAATGCAAGTACCCCTGAACACTCGTATAAATATCAGCAAAAGTCTGTGATTCAAATCCATAAAATTTGTAATAAATATGAAAAACTGGAGGGATTTAGAGAATTTTTGCCTGTGTCATCGATCACTATTGTCATGTTAAATAAAAATATCGTACACGATGCACATTGGAAATGCTTAGTAGATTTTATATTTTATAAGGATTCCTTTCCTATCCAAATGAAGTTTTTGAAGTTCGCAGCAAGTATTCCAGAAACTTTGAAGAAAACTTTGCATTTGTGATGCACCAAAAGAGAATTGCTATAGTATTTATTGACGTTGGTGACATGGGGTATTTATAAGACTTTAATCTATAAGGGTTTGAATCAATATTCTAAAATTAAAATTCGGTTTTGCCCTACTCAAGATACCAGGTTCATTCTAATAAATGCATGTATAAAACCTGACTGAAAATTTTGTTATAAAAAGAAAATTCATGCTTTCACTCTTGAATTTTCCAACAAAATTACATCTTGAAATTAATAATTAGAATTAGGAGCTAGGAGCCCTTATCCTAAAATTTTGGTAAAGGGGTCCTTTAGAAGCGCTAGATATTGGCATTAACAAAGCTAATGATAAGTCTCTGGATTGAAAGAGAAGACTTTCCCCCCTTTTTCAATTTTTTATATATTTCACGTTTTTTTTAATTCTAAGGAATAAAATCTTTTTCTTTTACTCTTTTACATAAGTCTACAAATATTTACAAAGATCTGTCAGTAAATACAAAACATTGTTTGGACCCAGACTCATGGCGGGAAATAGATGTTACTTGAGAACGTTGTGCCACCAAGGAATAAAAATTTTATTCTTATTTGGGCTCACTTTAATGATTTGCTGTCAACAGCACAGTTTTTCGCGATTATTTTACAAGCTTAAACTTCGAGAAAATTAAGTAATAAACGTTGTTATCATTTATAGTAATTGTGATTTGTTTTAAATATAATTTAAGTAAATTTTATCACAAAACAAGTATTTAATCTTAATTTCTGAACTTCGATGCTGAAACGAAACTTTTAACACCCTTCCTGTATAGACGACTGAAGCTCTCTAGTGCGGTGCAGCGAGCAAACTTGGACGTGTTGGCTTGGTGAAAGAATTAATAATTTTCGCTGCGTTCGATACACACCAATTTTCATGAAATATAACTGTTTATATGAGCCCCTTTCCTTTTATTTGAGGTTCATAGATCAACTAGATAATTCATGCATGAAGATTTATAAATGTTGAGCATCGAAGTTCAGGAAGGGTACAGCGTTCAGTATTTTCTCTCAACGAATTTAAATTTCATTATCATCTCATTTACAATAATAGAAAAAAGTCATTAGGTAAAAGGAAACATGGTTGTACAATGGCATTAAACGATTCTAAAGATAGAAGTATGTCCATGATAGCGGTGGAAATTTTCGACAAGCTAATAAGAGATGATACATCTGCTCCAAGGTTGAACTTTAAAAATTGTATTTAACTGGACGGTACTGACATCTATATGTCCACGCTCGTCGATTAAGCGCTACATGATACACCGGACATATAAGCATCGATTGCTGGTTGAATAGCTGTGCTTGCATGGCAAACCTGTAAATATGACTGGCTTGATAAGTTATTGATTAGTTAATAAAATAACAAAGTCTACTAGCTCAAATATCACTTTATATTATTGCAGCAGCCAAGGCCCGACCACTTGAATAATTCAAATGGCGCCAGACGTGTCCTGTTAATGGTGAATTACTATTCGTGAATTGTGATAAATACTCTAAACTTTCTGTGATGCGATACTAAATAATAAATAATAACTGCCTCGCACGAAATATGATTTTTTCTGACATGTTTATGTATCATTATTGAAAAAAAAATTTTGACGAAAAACGAGAAATTCGAGGTGAAAATATGTGAAAATTTGCATAAACTACCAATTCCGTTTCTTGCATTGAAGGCCGTGTGTAGAAGTGTTAAAGACATGTCGTAGGAGGAATTGGCAACTAAAAAACTGTGTTACTGGATTGCAGATATCCTCATTTAAACAACGTTAATCGTTTGACTACGAAGATTTCATAAATTTAATTTTCTCCAAATAATTATCAGTTGCAGATATGCTGAAGGCAAAAGAGACGCAAGCATTCCAAAGTCGTAAACTACACTTAATTTTGCCTGCACAGAAACTTGAACATGCTTTCACAGGACTCATCGGCCATGTGGTAGAAGTAATTAATGGAGGGAATGTAAGTCAGTGCCGCACAGGTAATGTTCTTCCCATTCGGGTCCAAATAGCCCCAGTACAGCGAGGGTTTAGCTGTTCCGATGGTTCCGCCTCCAAACCATTTCCATGTCACAATATCCGAAGCACGTTCAAGGCCAATCCAAAAGTTCTTGACAGAGGCTGTAGAGAATGTATCAAGTCTGAACGTACAAACATTATCCTCGCTACATATTAATTGAAAATTAGTAGGAATAATGTGTAACATTTTAAGTACAGCATCTGCACAAAGTTGTATTTTATGTTCAAGCAGTGGCTTCTGATGCTCCTATATGCTGGCTCCCATTTGTCATAATTCGGTGAGTCTGGCATGTGCTATTTAGTACCTTTACCAGAATACATCAGATTTAAAAATCAATACGCAAGAAAAATAGTAGTCTATGATCCCTTTCACAGATAGTATAATTTACAAATGCGATTAGCAATCGAAATTCTGAAATCAAAGGATATATCCAACTGAATTGATGGCATCTAAGCCGAATCGAAATTTCAACTAGATACTCTAACATGGACCATTGTTATTTTTACTGTGTATTCGGCTACTTGACTTACACGGGAAATTCTTCAGTAAGTATTCCCGCATGGCGTTGAAGTCGATCAGGAAGTTGGCGGTGAAGAGTTGGGAGTCGAAGGGACAGGACGCGGCGGCGGCGGTGAAGTTCAGTGCGACGGTGGAGACGTAAATGCAGCCCACGTTGTCCACGAGCGTGAAGCCAGGCAGGCATCCCTGGCCTGGATAAAAGTTCCTTATAATGATTTTGAACGAGTAATTAAATTACTTATTTCAATTAATGTCTTTTCGCTGAGTGTTCTACTTACTAGTTTGGACATGGTATAGTACCAGGGTATAATTTGATGAATTTAATTGAAATTTCCTATAATGAAGCTCGCGGGTTAAAATTAATCGGAAAACTTCTAAAGTATATGCAATATGAAATCAATTTACGTGAATAATATCACCTCAACGAGACGAAAATGGCTTGATACGTCGTACGGATTCCCTACGTTTCAGAAGTCAAACTTATTTTTGACTTGAAAGAAATATTTAACGAACAGAAAAAAAATAAAATTCTAACCAAAGTAAAACTAATTATATTGGGTATAATTTTTTTATATAAACTAAAGAAGTTTCTTAGAAGAATTAAAAATTTTTAATCGTACAGGGGTTGGATAGAAAAATTAGATCAGTACTCACTGCAGTGAGTGACAGAGAGCGCATTTGCTCGTCCGTCCGTGACGTGAAGTCACGGACGGACGGACATGACGAGCACAATAGCGCCTTTTTTCTATAAAAGAGAAAATGCGCTAACATGAAAAATAGCTTAAATTTTAATATCATAATTTTTTAACAAGTTATAAACAAGGAAAAAGTGGCATATTTGTTTTTTTTTTTTTGCTCATTGTGGCTGATAATTGATATTTTATCCTTGCACAGATATATTTAGTAAATGCTTGTGTCTTTTACCTAACCTATAGCCTATAAATGGCAAACCTCTGACTTTCAAAGAGGCCAAATCGTTGGTGCACGTATGGCAAGTGCTAGTGTGACCGAAACTTTTCGAATGCTTGACTTTTTTAGAGGTATTGTCTCACCAGTAATGACTGCTTTCGAATGAGAAGGAAAAACGTCCTCAGCAAAGCACAGGAAAGTCGAAGTTTTCGAATTGTGAGGGATAATCGAAAGAGAACGGTTCTTAAAATTACGAAACCAAATTTCCATAAAGAACGCCCGCTTAGAGCTTCAAAGAACTGAATTCTATGGAATAGCTGCAATTAGAAAACATCTGGTTTCAAAAAGCAGAAACTTTTAACCGATGAGTAGGTTTAAATTCATTTTAAACAATTCGCAATTTTGAATCAATACCTCGGAGAATATTGAGGCTGTAATTGCCGCAAAAGGTGGACCTACACCAGACTCAAATTTTTATGTGGTTTCTCAGGTGTTTCTCTTATTTTGTGTAACATTATAACTCTTATCGAGCTTAAGCTGTAATTTATGGATAAATTATCAAGCAGCAGAATTCACGTTTGTAGAAAATCTTGGCGTCAGGTGCAGGGACCATAAGGCCGGTGCTGGTGTCAGCGATTGTTCGTTCAGTGAAGGAGCAGTGGAAGTGGCGTGGTGGCTGACGCCTGATGGCTACCGCCATGCATCCGTCCCGGCACAGCGCGCGACACTCGCCTGGAAAGGGTTAATATGATCACAAGAATGGTTGCCTTCCACTGTTTAATAGGAGAGAAAATCAGGTGTAAGAAAATTTATTTTGATTTCAACACGATTTCTTCAGATGTTCATAGACAATTTTGAGGTTTCGCTGTAAGAATTCATCTCCGCGTGCTCTTTCCATTCTGATAACTGCCATTAGTTTCGTATGACACGCATTTCGTCGATTGAACCTCGTTGAAAGCGAGATTTTTCTAGAAATCTTCATTTAATTTACGGCTTTATAATTTGCTATGAGCCTGTGCATAAATAAGACGAATGTGCACTTCACGCAGCAATCGCCTGAAGGGTTAATATTCTCACAAGAATTGTTGCCTACAAAGATAAACGAAGCTGCCTGCACGATGAAGCCGACGTATATGATGTCAGTGCTGAGCAAAATTAAACACATTTTCATCTTATCTCGGAACACATATTGTCAATTGATGATCCCCGGAAGAAAGGGCATCATAGATCACTTAATGCTTGATTTTTAATGCTCACACTAATAAACGGTCTTCGTTTCTTGAATCGAAATGATGAATTCAGACAGTTTAATTAAACTCAGTGAGTATGGTTTATTTTCTACAATCCCTTATCTTCGATGAAGTAACTTACAAACTAAATAATCCTGTGAAAATTGATATGCTTTCATATCTACGTGTATATAAGTTATATCTACTCACACGGACGCTGCACGAGCGCGCTGCTCGAGATCGCAGTTGCGGCAATTTCCGCGCCCATGAAAGTCCTGAACGTATAAGCTGAGCCCTCCTCGATGCTGCAGCAGACGCACAGCAGCGCCCCGAGCGCCGCTAGCAGCCGCAAGTCCATCTTGCAGAAATCAATTAACCTACAAGAAATAAAGTTAGATTTAGATACAACATAGGTCACTACTGTGTCTCGTAACATGTTGGTAATGTTTCGAGACAGCTTGAACTTTAACCTTCATGATCAATTATTATTATCTGAGTGTTGGTTTTAGAATGACTGGCAATGCTTGATTTTATTTCCAATATTTTATTATTCTCAAGTTCATCATAATTATCACAAGGAAACACTGTCGAGAGGCGAATAAACTGTCATTCAGCTCTCTGACGTTTTTGCAATTCATTCTTTTATTTTCTCCGCTGACAATGTTGCTGATACTCCTTTCACGGACGTCAACAGCTCACTGACATAAGAGCAATGTTCGCATGAACACGAAATATTGTGCATGAACATTATGAACATTAAATATATCTGATGTACACATTCCTGTGTTTGATATGCATAAACTTTTTCGAAAACTTTCTAATGTAATTATTGGCTGGTCACTGGGACTGAAGAGTCATTGCTGCATACCAAATGAGAGCTTTTTGCTATTGACAACAGGCCTGAATTCATGATCAGCGGCTGACTGATTGCATTGTAATGGAACATAGTAGTACAACCCTAACGGAATATTTTGAAACAATGCCGCGAGTTTACTTATTCATGAGGCTTATTCCAAATGATCAAACTAAAAAATAATTCAATCGTAATCGCGTAATCTTTATTTAAAAAATTAATATCTTAAGGTGTAATCTGCCAGATGAATGAACTATTGTGGCAGGTTTTCTTTCATAATAGAAAAATTTGAGAAAATAATTCAATAAGTAGACAATCTAAAAAGTTTCCCTAGCAACGATCGAGAACTATCTCGCATATTCTCTATTAAGTTACTCCTTTCGGTTAAAAGGGTAATAAATAAAGCAAAGAGTAATGGTAATGATTTGAATGTGTTAATGTAAGACACATGAAAACTTCGAAATAAGTGTCAGGTCTGGTAAGAAAGTGTGGGTGTTTAAATAATAGAATCCCGGCATGCCCTATCCATTAACGTGGTGACTAGGGCTCATTGAATGTTCATTCTAAAAGGTTAAAAGTTGCAAATTTCCTCCATAAGTTTTTTGATTAATGTGGCTGTGTGATTATTCGGGTAGTGCTCCCTGTTAAAGGAAAATAATATAGATGGAATGATGAAATATAATATTATTATATGTTATAATAATATAATACACTGCATAGCAGCGCCCCGAACGCTGCAAGCAGGGTAAGTCCATCTTGTTTTTATTATTATCATGATATTATTATCAGCCTGTTGAATTAAAAACAAAAAAAATTATACCTGATGTAGAAAATTTAAAATCTTTGCTGAAAACGAATGTGAATTTTTCAAAAGTGGTCCTTGTATAATGAAATTAGGTTCAATAGGTAATTGACCATAATTAAAAACTACTGAAAATACTTTTTATATGCGAAAAATTACAAATAGTAGTAAAAATTACAAAATGTTACCATAATATTAGCGACGTTGTGTCACTCAAAAAATAAAAATGCTATTCTCATAAGAATTGAGCTGAATAAAGAGTCAATAGAATACTTTTAGGTACGATGTATATTATATATATAATTATTATATTAATTTATATGTTATATTGGATCTCGCTTCAACTCTGCGATGGACGGTATATTAAAGTTTTCATGAATTGAAATGATTTCAATCTGTTTAAAACCCGTACAAAATTTTATCTCGCAACAAGAACTTGATCTTAATTGATAACGCCGAAAAAATATATCGTGATATATCACGCGTTAACTATCAGAAGGATTGTATTAAAAGTGTTTATCTTTCGAAATGAATGACTTATTTTCCAATTTTTGCATAAAATTGCATCTTGAAAAATGGCCTGAATCTTATTTGCCTGAACTTTTTCTGACCTTAATTTTTCTCCCTTACTCTGAAGGCATCACAGCAGATCAATGGTGCGGTGCAGCAAGCCGACCTCGCTGCATTGTGCAAATCAAGTGTTAATGGCATTGATGAGTTTGATGTGCACCAATTTTGATGGAATATTTTCGAGAACTTGTGCATGGGGTTTAAGATATATAAGGAAATTTATATTGAAAACTAATTTCCATGACCCATGCAGGATACTTACATCCAATTAATTTCAATTTAAGGTTTCAGAATAGTGCCCTAGCATAAATTCAAAAATGATATAAATAATTCAAATTACAATAAGTTTACTTCCATCAGAAACCAAATCATAATGCTTAAATTTTTTATCGCATTCTTCATCTTTACAGGCAGTTGTTCTATTGGATGTGGAAAATATTTCAGACCGAAGTCGTCAAGAAAGCAATAATCGCTCTCAGACAAGTTAAGACAGCTCGATTATTTCTTTGCTATTCTAGCAGCCAAGACCTGATCACTCATGTACCTCAGGTTGTGATAGACGTATGTTGGTAATGAGGAATTATTGGTTTTACTAGTTTTGATTGATGCTAAAAAACAACTGTTATTAGTACTAAACAATTATTATCTCGAAATAATTTTAGTTTCAGTCTTTTTATGTGTCTATGCCCCATTATTGAAGGAATTCCGTCAGTCGAACAGACAAATTTAACAAATTCCTGAAAAATTTCATAATCTGCTTATTCGTTTTTGTATAGATGGCCAAGTATGTAACATTATAAACCTTTTAACACGATTCATGAGGGGATTTTTAGTCCAATAAAACTGGTTCATAGATTATGAAATACTGCTTTCTTCATTTAAGGAAACGTAAAGCGTTTGATTCTGTTGATTCAGTAAATTATGTTTGGATCGGAAGATTATCAGTTACGAAATTGCTGGCAGCAAACGAGATGCGTGCATAGAAATGCGGCATACTACAAATAATTTTGCTTGCACTGAAACTCATCTGGTTTACACAGGACAGATCGTCCACGAATAATATTTAATATATTATTTTAATATATTATAATAATTTATACAATACTAGAGGGTATACTATATTATATAATATAATATTACTAGAAGTAATAATGGGATTGCATGTAAGCTAATGCCACACAGTCAGTGTCTTCAACTTAGTCCATTCGGTTCCAAATAGCCTCAGCTGTTACAATCACAGTTTAGCTGTTACAATGATTCCGTTACAACCATTTCCATGTTGCGATGTACGAAGTATGATTGAAGCCATTCCATTTGTTTTTCATGGAGTCGAAAAATTAGTTTGTTTATAAGTGAATACAAAACAATACTGTCACGCACCACACAAAAATCTGTTTCATGGAGGAGGTCGAAGGCGTCGTCTTGGAGACCGGCCGCTGCAGGCGCCGCATGAGCAGGCGTCACAATTGAGACTTGGCACGTGTGGAAAATTGGATCACTTGTGAATAATGAACTCGCTGCCACCATCCTTACTCTCACAACACTATCACTGCCATCACTAACCTCATCATCACTACCATCACCAACACTACCCTCATCATCACTACCCTCACTATCAGTACCCTCACTATCACTACCCTCACTATCACTACCCTCACAATCAATACCCTCACCATCACTACCCTCACCATCACTACCCTCACCATCACTACCCTCACTATCACTACCCTCACTCCCACTACCCTCACTCCCACTACCCTCACTCTCACTACCCTCACTCTCACTACCCTCACTCTCACTACCCTCACTCTCACTGCCCTCACTCTCACTACCCTCACTCCCACTACCCTCAACTTGACTATCATCAGAAATTTTCGCTCCTGTTTGACCCGGAACAATTCAATATCTGTCACATGGTAGCTGATCTTCAAATTCGTTCATTTTGAAAAACTTGTAAAGAATTTGTTTGTGATTTACAATACCAGCAGGAAAAGCCAGAATTGAATCATAAATACATAAATCAGGTAGTAACAAAACATATCAGATACACTTGCCGGTATATTTCATATTATTTTAATTCACGCCTAACTTATTAGTGCATGAAAATTTTCAGTTTCGACCCAGTTTCAATTTTAAATGGAAATCGGAAAAGAAAAAATCCCAAATAATAGGTTAACTTCATAACATCGTCAATCATTGTCTGCAAGAAAATCCATAGAAATTGAGAACATCAATTTACACTGTCCTAGTTCACTGGATGACGTCAGTTGATTGGCTACCTCTTATATTTGCGAGTTCAACTCTTTGACGGATGCGTTCAGAGCGCTTGCAGTATAGTAAAGAAAAAACATTCCTGAAAAAGTTTAGTATTCCTTCAGAAATAGCGCAGAGAAATACAATATATATCATACTTCGAATATTGCGTGGAAAAGTACGGCTAAATGTTTTAGCTACAGAGCAGTTACCCACACAAAAGTTATCACAACTTTTCACCTTTAAGAATGGGATGCCCCGTCAAACTGTAAAAAAAACTAGAAACATTTTTCTTTCAAACACAAACATGTCAATGTAAAGGCAATGTAATTGTTATAACGCCCGAAGTTCTTTCTCAATTTTATTATCGTTCATTAATATCTCCAGTTATTCGTCTAAGCAAAAAAAGGTTTGCTTTGCTCTATAATTCCAAATGTTGACAATACAACTTTGAGATTAATAATATTTGTACAGATCTTCAAAGACACAGAGAGGTTGGCTGGATCTATTACGTTATTTTGTAGTATACTTAGAGAGTCATTATAGTTTTAACTATATTTCTTCATTTAGTGTTAGTTGTTATTACTGTCATCCAATATGACGTTAATATAGCGACTAATATCCTCATTACAATTAAATCAAGGGAGCGAGTCCGGACTGCGGAGGTAAGACAGATAAGTCAAATAACTCTGACAATAAAGTGATTGATTGGATGTCATGCTTCCTAAATCCCAAAAGAGATCAATAATGAACCACGAATTCTCTATGTTGCATTTTCGAGCCAATGAGTGACCATTGTTCAGTTATCCCTTAAGCCTACAACTTTGAAGATTAAAAATTGGAACTTTTAGAAACAATTACAATGTTATATATGTTATAC